AAAAAGCCCCTGCCTTGCTTATGGCAACAAGCCAGCAGATAACTCAGACATCCATGAAACTGCAACCTAAAAAACACATACCTTTACGATCCTAAAATAGTTATGATTGTTAGCCCAAGCGGCTATAGTTTTAAACACAGAAAAATAATCTTTTAGATGGTTTAAAAATGGTCAGATGAGGGAAATTTAAGTCATCCTTCTCTAGATACTGAAGGAGATGAATGATGCATGCAAGTTCCTAGGCTATTTTTCACAAGCGAACCATAGGCTGGTTTGTCAGGCTGATGCACAGTATTCCTTTGTCAGGAAAGCCTCTTAAATATTAACCAAAAGTCTGCAGCAGCCTTCCTATCATGAGCACCCAGAAATGGTTTATTTATCCTGCTCAGAATTTGAAGTAAAACTTCAGCTGAAATGAAATTGTGTGCAAATTGCCATCTGTGTTTATTCCAGCAGGATTATCATTCTGGATTGTTTTATTTTGGAGAAAAAAAGTCGGGTAAGGATTGTGACTTTAAGGTTGCGGCACATACAGACTTTCAGGAGGTGTTTTAAACTGAATTTCTTTGCTGTTCATTTGTGAGGCATTTTTATTCCTGAGACCCTCACAGCTGTTTCACAGACTTTGTAAGCAGGTCTATATGTTGTGGTTTATATTTTGTAAAAATCTATAATTTTGCCTTTTTTTTCCCCCCCTAAATTGATCCTTACTCTTCATAAACTCCCTTTTCAGCCTTTGTACTTTCTTTCAGTCACCAGTGACATCAGCTGTTGTCTGGGAAACACATCTTGTGTTCTCCTGAGCATCCCAGCCCTGCTAATGAAAGAAATCCCTTCGCATCTCTGGGTCACATCACGTTAATTCAGCAGCTCTGTGAGAGAGCCAAGCTGCTGATTTAGTGAGCAACCTGCAATGCAAAATGCTCTTTACAAGACTCCCAGAGTGGAAGAGCTTCCAGAAGGAAAGCTTCCTGACAATCCCCAAGCGGTTGCCTGGCCAGGGAATTGCACACAGTCAGAGAATCACATCTTCTCTCACTCACCAAGGACAACAGCAAAACATGCAGCAACTGGAAGGGTCATAGGAAAAGGTTCAGAGTAGTGGTATTTTCTGCAGACAACCACCATACAACCCTTTGGAAAATAAGTCTATATAAGAGATCAGAAGAGGATATTTTGTTGCAGAAAAAAAACCTTGCCAAAAGTAAAATAAATCCAAAACCAAACCACAGCACTTAATTAATGCTTTTTCAGCTAAAAAGTATGACAAAGCTCTACCCAATTAATCCTTCTCCACCTTTGAGCAGGGAAATAGGTAGATCCAGAAACAGAGCTAAGACTATAATAGCAGAAAGTGGGCAGATAGGATTGTCATTTGGGACTTGAGTAGCACAAACCAGGCAAGTTTAGGCAGACTGGAGCCATTCTTCCTTTTTTTCTTTTCTTTTTATTTTATTTAACTAAATAAAAGTGACGCTTCCAAGGTCAAACTGCCAGGGAAGGTCAATTCTGAAGGTACAAGCTCTATGAATGGTATTATTAAATCAGGGGGTCCACTTGGTCAAGGTGATCTCTCAGCTTGGGTATTTCACAGACCAGTGGAGGCCAGGACTGGATGAAATTCTTCTCTGGTTTAATTAGAGGCTTTGAAGCCCTGTAAGAACCTAATTTTCTCTGGGCCAGATAAGAAATCAATAAAGAGAGTAAACCTGCAAAATGTACACCTGGATCATGAACAGCTCTATAAAACACTGCTCAATATCAACATCAACTTCAGTTAAACTCTGTATTAATTAATGGTTAAGAAAGGTTATTTGCCAACAGCCTAGATGGAAAAAGACTGGTATAAAAAATGGCCTTCAGAATGGATGTTCTGTGCAAACTGAAAGTGGAAAGATACACCTGAATTGTGTAAAGGTTAAAGGGGGGGAGTGTTCATCTCATCCCACTGCCCAAATGAGAGCAGATTTCTGAAAAACATGGCAACAGAGAACAGGAATGGATTTCAAATAACTCCCTTTTGCATAACTATATTATTTGTTGTCTGTACCTACTGACATCACCTCTCTGATTTTTTTAACGATCCACCACACTCCTGGTCCTTTGCTCCAGGGAAAGCAAGCCTGCATTAAAATGATAATAAAAAAAAAAGCCAAAGTCCTAGTGATTTATAGTCTCTTACTGAGCTGCGTAAATGATCCATTCTGCTCAGAATATTAAAGCTATTTGCCATTCAAACCCAGACCCGATTTTCACAGAGGACCTCTCCCATTAATTGAAGGTTAGATCAATATCACTATTTCTAGGGAGTTTGAAATACATGCCAGAAGACATTTCCATATTAAAATTCAACAACATATTACACCTACAAACTCGCTCTTGCCTGAGGCAAACCTTAAGCAGGAGATATTTCAAACCCTTAATCTCATTCTCCTCCATATCAGGTTGTTGTTGGGTTCGGCTTCCGCCTTTGCACATTTAATTCACGTCAGGCCTTGCAACTCTCCCTGCTTGCTGTCACTACATTACTATTCTTGGCTTCTTCCTCTCAAGACTGCTGTTTTCCAAAATGCCCTGTTAAACCAGCACAGAGTGATGGGTATTTTGAATGGTTTTCACTATTCCATGCTTTGGCCCAACTCTGATGTGATGAAGACTTGGCCTTGCTGTCACACTTTAGACATAACTCAGCACATCTCCCCACAGTTTTAGATGAAAATCTACAACAGAAATCAAGAGTTTTACCTAAAATTGATGCAAGCAAAACAGATTGAGTTACAGCAACTGCTAGTTAATGAATTGGGCCCCAAATTTTGCCCTTACCTTGACATTCACTGCAGTCAAACATGTCTCAGCCGGCAGTGGGATGGAAAACAGTCTGGATGACCCTCAGTGGTCTTTTATTCTTCTAATAAGAAGAAAATGCACTGGGAATAGAATCAGAAATGTAAACATTGTCCACTATAACCTTTTAAATGTGTCAAGTGCCTTTTCCACTCCTCTTGTGGGATGTGAATGCACAATCAGGAGGCCCAGGTAATGAGATCTGCAGGGTTCACTTCTTACAGAAAATGCTCATCAGTATCATGTGTTATTAACCTCTGAGGTAAAAGATCACCAGGTCCTTTTCCTCTTTCATTAAAAGTTTGCCAGATAGAAAAAGGGGTCAAGTTCACCCCAACTGTGGTGTCCCCAGTGGTCTCAAGAAGCTTTCCACAAAGGTGATTTGCTTTCATCACTCCATGTTTTTTTCTCTTCCCTCCCTATTCTGCATACATGAGGTAAAGCAGATGTAATTTCTTTTTCAAAGCCCATAATCCCCAATTAAAATGACCAACAAACACTTTAATCAAAGGTTAATGATTAGTTTGGGGATTTTTCACTTCCATCTTCTGTCTCCAAAATGCTGCTGCTTTTTTAAAATAGATTTTTTTGTATTTAGAGTTTCTTAGAACATCAGCAAAGCCCTAATATGGAGCTCACTAATTCCAAGAAAATACTATTTCATCACAGATATAACATTTAACTTTGAAGCAAAACCAGAGGGAAAAGCCCCCAAAACGAATCTTTAAAATGCTGCTTGTATTTTAAAAGTGAACATCAAGAACTGTGACATAACTGATGACAAGTGTCTCACACAGACATTATATCATTTAACAGGAAAACATTGCTGATGGGAAATGCAGAATTGAATTGCAGGAGATTAAAGTCTCAGAAATCACTTACAAGATAGCATTCCCATTTAAAAGCTAGATGTCAGATATTCCATAGGTTTAGTAAATTCCATGATGGTAACAATTTTTCTTTGTTAAAATTAATACAGGAGAAAGGGTTGTTTTGAAGTGACACATTATTTAACACGTTCTCAGGAAAGCAATTTTAAGAATTTTAATGGAAGCTTATTACTAAATTAAAAAGAAGCAACTGAGAAGTTCAGAAAAACTTGGAAAATTTTAAATTACATATGAGACAGTTTCTTGGACAGTCTGAAAGGAACAGGACTCTGAAATAAACCTCACGCACTAGAGAAAGACACCATATATATCTGGTATATAATACCTAGTACAACCTAACTGTAAAAGGTGCTGCACAAAAAAAAAACAAACCCAAAACCTATAAACTGGTTCCTATTCATAAAAACTTTTTAATCTAAGAAAAGAGATAACACTGAGGTGGCAAAAGGCAGGGCAACATCTGATAAGGACCATCTGAGCCTCTGAGTCTGGTTAGGCTCAGAAGCATCAAGGCCTTATTAAGTTTTATAGAAGTATATAAGAGGATTGGAGTTGTGAAGATGTTTATAGGGAGCTGCTCCAACAGGGAAGTAAAGATGCTGTCAGCTAGAAATAGAAACACACCTGGCATTTCAGTGAGGTGTTGGTTTAATCTCAATGCCAGTCCTGGGAAGTTTACCTATTGCACTGTTTTTTGCCAAAGATAAGGAGCTGACCAGACAGAATCCTGGGAATACAGTTTGAGCTTTAAGCACTAGACTTTTAAACTAGTTTAACACACTCATTCTGACAGAGATCTGTGCTCCACAAAATCCTGATTTCCACCGCTACATTCCTGATAGTGATCATCACTGAGCACCAGCTCTGATCCCTGACACACTTCTGGCAGCCAAATCCCTCTGTCTACTAAAGAGAATGTCTCCTGCTGAGGCTCAAACACACAACTTGGAGTTACATGAATGCTTAAATAGCTTCATTTCTGCACACCAACGTAGCTGACTTCACCATTTAGCTCCATGGAAATGGTGCCAAACTGCCTGCAGCCATTTTGTTCAGCCCTCCAGAGGGGAATTTAAGCAGGAAAATTGTGAGGGGCAGCAGGAGTTACTCACATGGAGTGTCAGTCATCCACTGGATAGAATGGGAACTGTAACACTATGGACAAAACTAGTGGAAAACAATGTTTGATTTGATTTTGAACTATTAAATCACAGATAATTAGACTAAAATGATAAGCTGAAGCATTATCTAGGTAAAAAAATCCACATAAGCAGCACTGTGCATTTCTGTATCAGCCATTCAAGATAAAAAGCACGATCTCGTCATTTTACACATTCTACTCCATTTATAAGAGATTGAAACTATCTTGGGATTCAGGTATTTCTCAGCTGAAGCATCTTTTTGTCCAGCAGCAGCAGCATCCATAGCTTCTGAAGAAGTGACTCCATTTGAGAATAAATAATTCAGTTCCTACAGCTGAATGTTGTCTATACTTGCTAAAAGTTCTCCTTTTCATTGTCTGCCAAATCCCTAGAAAGAAAAGTCCTGTCCCACCTACAAAGGATGCCTGGACGGGAGTTTCTGAAACTTTCTTTCCCAATAGTGAGAACTTGTCCATCAGGAAGCTCATGGCTCTTTTCAAGACAGGAGGAAGAAGCAGCAGTTGTTGTTTCATTTTCAAAATCCAGTGCCACACAACAAAACTTTTCCTTGATGTCTCTCACCATCTCCTGTTCTGCTGCAGGCAGCCAAGAAGTTTTTAATCAACACACAGTGTGACAGTCAGGACACAGATTTTCCCAAGCCCATTTTTAAGACAAGTTCCAGCACTTTACAGACATGAAGTCATGTTCAAACTGTAAAAAAAACCCCTATTTTTTAATAAAAATGTGAATCTCTCATTAAAGTAAAATACACCACTAGGAAAATATAACAATATCTGTGTAAAGCCATGTCATTCTTGGGTAGGAAATGAAGCACATGTTTTCCACTCAAAATGAATAAGGCATTTCTGATACACAAATAATTGAATTTTAAAGATAAAACAAGTATTTATGACAGTCATAATTCCTGTAAGCTGCCCATCTTTGTATACAAAATTATATCATGGCATCAGGCTACAAAGGCAGGTGGCATTTTAAATATTTTTTCAAAATATATAAAGACTCAAGACTTCAAGAGAAAGACAGGTGGAAAATCCAACCCTCAGGAAGACTCACCAGTCATTGGTCCCAAGGCAGAGACAGCACTGCCTGAATTGCTCCACACATGGCTGGCACACTGAATGTTTCAAACAGAATCTGGAAAGAAGAGTAGAAAAAACTTTGAGATCTACACTTAACAGGACCTGAAGAGATGGTAAATTTTATTTCTTTTAAAATTAATACTGACAGTTACTACTCCTGAGTCCTTTCCTGAACCACAGCTCTTCTGTGAACAGCATGTTATATTTTCTTTGGGATTTCATTTAAAAAGAAAATCACCAAAGCCAGTGGATATCTTCCTATTAACCCAGGTCAGATTTTTGCTGACAACATTAATTGAAGATGACACCCCTGGGATAATTTTCTTACACTGATGGCAGGACTGCACAATGGGGAAATCTAGATGGTTTTATATCTATATATGTACACACACATAAAAAATGCACAGAAGACACAGCTGGAAGAAGCCATGAGGAATAATCTGTCTGTTCCCATCTCAAGGAACAATCAGCCGTTCCTCTAAGATTATTGAGTCCAACTGTAAACTCAACACTGCCAAGGCCACCACTAAACCATGTCCTCAGGTGCCACATCTAGTGGCTTTTAAATCCCTACAGGGATGGGGACTCAACCATCACCATCAGAGCTTCCAATGTGAGGGGGTTAACTCAAATTTTGGATTTCAGAAGCTAATACTTTTGCCAATGAAGTCAACGTTTAATGGAAACTATGCTTTCAATTAAAGGCTACATGAATTAACAATATTTCATAATTATGGTGATGAATTTAATGCAATCAGCAATAAACAAGAAGCCTTTAAACAATCTTGAAAGCAAGATTTATCATTACAGTATAATGACAGAGGAGCAGTCCTGGACACGTCTATTGTATGAGCCACATCTCCTGGTTGTTAAAAAGTACACTGTTCTTATGGTCTGTTGTAGTTTGTTATCTCCCAGTTGTATTCTCTCCCAGTAATTCATTCTGTCAAACTCACTACTTAATTAATTTATTTACACTGTTGCTAAATTGATGCATAATCTTCCTATTAAATATATGCCAAAAGTTGGAACAAAGGGAAGTGCAGAGTCACATCCCATTTTCCCAGGTGATTCTATACCTATATCTGTATTTAAATCACATTTACTTCTCTTTCTCTCACTGGCTAAACTTGTAACATGGACTTTTGGCCATAAAGCTGCTCCAAAATATATAAAACTTCAGAGGCCTGCTTTTTGTTCTGATTAAACTTGGCTAAATCAGACTACGTATGTCACAGGCAGGAACACTTAGCAAAGCATGATTTGCTAAGACAACTCATTTTCCCAAGACAACACAAACATTCCAGTTTTGGAACACTTTTCCCCTGACCCCTGAAGAGGTGCTCCACTTGGAAGTTCCACAAAGTCACGTGCTTTATTCTAATCTTTCAAAACCCACAATTCAGGTATGACAAGTAGCATTTTGCCTGATGCAGAAGTGCTGATGAAGGGACAGTGTCAAGGGTAGAAAGCAGGAGCTGAGGAGTTGGGCTACAAGTTGAACACTCTTGGTAGCCAGAGGTGGGCACCTGAAATGTGCCACTGATCCAAAACTCACACTGAAGATTCAGCTGGTTCACTTTCAAACCTCACTTTTAAATACATCAATGACTCACCAACTCCAACCAAAAAAAAAAAATCACATAATCCTGTGTTATCATTATCTAGATACACACCAAAACTCAGCATCAGAAGCCTCTTGGCTTCAGCTTTCCTTCATCCAGAACTGAGCACAGTCTTGTGAACATACACAAAAAAAAAAAAAAAAATCACTCCAAGCTTTTAAGAGGATACCTGTGCATAGCAGTGACATATTTGCAAGTCCAAAATGTTTCAGGACCTTGATAACGCAAGAGCAGCAGCAACTCCCATCATGGCTTACCCATCTTGCCAACCCACACTAATCATAAGGGATTAGCTCCCAAATTAAGAACAAATTAACTATTTGGGGACTATTTATATTTTTTAGCTGCTTCCATGCAGGAATGATCCGTGACACAGGGTTCAGACAATTACTTGAGTCATTTTTTCCATGGTTGGCCTTCAGATTCAAGGGGGTCTCAGTCAAAAGGGTGGGATGTTCCTCCAGCACAACCAGAGTTTGTTGTAGGAAGAATGATGTCAAAACCTAGAAGTGAAAAAATGCTTTAGAAAAGTGTCTCAAAATGGTTTCTTCTGCCCACAGAACAACAAAGAAAGCTCTTCAAATACAGCCAGGCTAATGGATTTTTAATATATTTTTAGTAATATATTAAATGATATTAAATAATGTTATATTTAAAATACAAGTAGTATATATCATACAATAAAAATTATTTATATATGTTATTTTATTAATATTTTACAGACATTAAAATAGACAGAAAGCATGCAAGTGCAAATCTGCCAAATTCCCCTCTATTTTAGAACTGAAACCACTATGCTGGGGTTTTATTCTTTTATTACCTCAGCTTTGCCTGACCCAATGAGCTTATTTTTGAGCACAAAACATCAGGATAGTTTTATGGGTAAGTTTATTTGAAGAATATCCCAGAAACAAGTATTATTATGCTCCAAAATGAACTTAAATGGAAAAAAGATCCTCTTTTGTGCAGCACCTACAAAGTTAACAGCTGTCCAGAGCTAGAATTGCTCATTAGGGGAAAAAAAATCAGCCCTAAAAAGAAGTTTCAATTCCATATCAATCCCCTAAAAAAAAATGAATAATCAGATGTTTCCAGAAGTGAGGCTTGGGATGCCAAGCCATCTTCCATTTGAAGGTTTAGAATAGAAATGCAGGGAGAAGTTGAATAAACCAGAAAGTAATTATGTAAAAGCTTAAAAATATATATCAGTCAGATATAAGAAAAAAATGCTATTTCAGACAGGGAATACATAAGGGGAGAGAAGGTGCTTACATAATTCACAAAGTGCTGGTGATTTCAGCAGTGAGGAACAAACCTGGACTCATACAAAGCAGGACCCTGCCTAAATCTTGGGCAGTTTCCAGGTTTTGCCTCAAATCCAGGCACTGCACAGCCCAGTAACCATAATGTTGAGGGATAACGACATTCCCCAAGAACCAAAATAGTTCAGTGTTGATTTTATAGGCCATGAGACTTAAATGTGAGCAGCAAAGACAAATTACTGAGGAAGAACTATCCCAAATTAACCCAACACTTATATTAAACATTTATGTTGTCACCAGAGCCAGAAAATGCTCCATCCCTCCCATATGTTGTCAGGTCAGTTCCTGGGAACAAATTAACAGGGATGGACAATGCCCTGTATTATTATCCAGCGGAAAACAGAGCAGGCCCAATTTGAATATTGTGAATTGAAGCACAGGAGAAGAGGAATGTGCTCCCCCCTCCACTCCCACATCCTGCAGCATCCCTGCTCCCACTTTGCCCTCACACTGAGCCTCCTTCTTTGGTGATCCCCCTCTTTCTGTACCCTGTGGATGGCTGGGCACTGCACTATTGTGCCTTTGTCCCATTTTTGGCACGTTACCCAGTAATTCCCTTGTCTCTTCTGCATCAAGATGCTTTTAGGAGTATGATTTCCAAGCATTAGAAATAAATCTGTGGCTTGGATCAAAATCATGCAACTGGTTTAGAAAATTTTGGGGGAAATTATATATATATATATATATATGCACACACAAAAGATATTCCCTTTGCATCAAAACTTTAGGAATTTTATTTCAGAAATTCTCTCAGCCACAGGAGTCTTTGTGTTTGTCACAGAACTTCAGGGGGACCTGAGATACGTGATTGAATTACAGAAGCCTGTATATAACCAAAAATACACTTTTTTCCTTATTTGAAATAATCATAACAGTCATCAACTCTGTTTCTTGTCTCTTCCCTAGCAGAAGAAGGGAAGTTTGGAGACCCACTTCCACAAGTGATTTAAGTGACAAAGAAGAAAAGCTAAAGCTACAAGAGCCCATATAGTACCTGACCATTATTTGAATTACAGCACTGCCTGAAGCCTCCTTCACATTACACCTTAAAACCAATCTATCCACCCATGAGTTCACACTACAGGAAAGCACATGTCACTTTTTTAACCTTCTCCAATTCCTTTTCCTAATTATATTTTAAATAGTCTGCCCTTGCATCCAGCATTACCCAGAGAAGGAACACATAGCAGTATGTGTTGTGCACAGGACAATTTCCAGATGCACATGAGGGAACAAAAATAGTGACCTCCAATTCTTACTTTTTTTCTTCAGGAAAATATAATTTCTTGCTGAATGCAGACAGCAGGAAAATTATCAGGGAGCAAAACATAATGGGATGTACAAGGTAGACAGAAAGGTATCCTCACAGCAAGCAGAGCAAGGTTGAAATCCAAATATTGTGCTTCCACCTAGTGGAGTAGGAGGGCAGTTTATTTCCAGATACAAACTGAAGAAGTCCCATTGCTCCTGTATCGACTTTGGTTTGTTGTCTGGAACACTCTGCACTCACCAGTTTGGGTTCATGAATACGACACAGGAACTGACTTTAGATACAGGGATTATAATTTCACACACCTCATCCTGGGAAGTGTGAGTACAGAACAACCCCAGCCCCTTGTCATCCTTTCAGTGGTATTTTCCACAGGAAAACATTACCAGGAGAATTTCCCTGTGGAATTTCCTCCCCAGGCCATTTCACCTGGAGAAAAGGGACCAAATAGCAATCCTGTCTCTAAAGAGGAGGTACAATATTTCCACATACACACTCAGACACTTCCCCAAGAGACCAGGACATATGGAATATCTGAGATATTTAACAGTGAGAGTGTCCTTTGGACTTCCCATTCCTCTCCAGTTTCTCCTGCACTTCCCTAAGAGGTCACTGCTCTGGCCACACACCAAGGAAGCTGTGCCTCAACAAAATTACATTAAAAATAAACACCCACCTTTCCCATGTCATTCCAGTTACTGATAACTCCATGCTCAATGGGGTATTTCAGCCTCAGGATCCCTCTTTTACTTGGTGCTTCAGCCTCTACATTGCTGTCTTTTTGATCCACTCCAACCATAACATCCTGCAAAGGATATTATTCCAATATTAGTGCAATACATCAGGCACGTCAGGGATAGAATAACATTTTTAAGTTAAAACTTCATGTGAAATACTGTACCTGTTACTGCCCTCACAGAATGTACTCCCAAAACATGTAAGGAACTAAAATGTGAATTTGTGGGAAACCACCTACTCTGGAATCATTCCTTCTATAAATCAACCAGGAAGAGCAAGGCAGCTTCAAAAATGAAGGAAGTATCACATACTTGGTGCTGCCCACACAGGAGTCCACCCAAGGTGGGCACCAGCAAACTCATGATTCTCTCATCAGGGGTGGGTCCTTTGTCACTGCATAAAGGAATAATGGGAAGGAATTATAGGTGGAAAAGGTATAATCTCTCTAGATTTACTTATTTGGTTGCTCTTTCTGTCTAAGCAGTTCCACTATTGCCTTGAAACAGTGAGATTTCCCCTTGTTGGAGGAGAAATATATTTTAAAAAATGTACATTTTGGGGGTAAAAAAGTATTCATTTATTGTCATAGGTTTACTTGTTCTAAAAAAAACAAGGGGGAATTTTTTTCTTCTTTCCCCTGCATCGCTGTAAAAGAAATACGTTTAACGAGGGAGGGGGAGGGTGTTTGCCCAGGCTGATTGACACACACAAAGGAACTAGCCAGCCAATACACATATAGCCTTTAATAAAGGGCTGTGTTTTTTTTTCTTTCTCCATATTTCCTCCATTGGAGCCTCTTAATTTTGGATTTACAATTGCTTAGAGGGAGGAGCTTGGTCTTCCTCATAACTCATCCTCCCTAGCAAAACACTTCAGTCTCATTAAACTGAGATACTTATATAAAAGACAGATTTTCTTTAAAAAAAACCCTCACTTATTAAATAATAGTTTTACTAAGTTTATCACTTTTGCATTAGGAAGTGTATCACAATTGCCCCAAATAATATAACAACATATGAGGTAAAATATTTTTCACGACACAGAACTTCAGGGAAGGGTTTTGACAGTCCCGAAAATTAAAATCTGGCTCAGATATGAACAAAACAAACAAAAATCTGCATCTTCTATTTGCAAAGGAACTTTTAGAAATCTAATTAAACAGAAAGACCCTTTTCAAGGTCAAGAAAAGCCACAGTTATCCTTTCCAGTCTTATATGAGTTTATAAAGTGATGTGCTGGAGACCCTCTTTGGAATTTTATTGGGCCATCCTGTTGCAGGATTCAAATTGTGAACAATTTCCATTGCATTTCTGTAGGCCTTGCTTGACATGACTAGAAGCTGTAAGCTGTAATGTTTATGCTTATAGACTGTGTGAAAATATGCAATGTTTATACTTGTTAACTGTGTGTCTAATTATAAGGTTTGAGAACATAGTATGTTTAGAGCAAGAAAGCCTTGAGAAAGTATAGATAGGAGTGCACCTGCAGATTTCAGAAAGTCCCTAATTAGGAAGGCCTCTACATGCCAAGTATGATTCCAGGCCGTGTGGACAGAACATCAGGTCCAATGAACTGGAGACATGAGACGTGTGTACAGACTGAGCTATCCAATCACCTTGTTGTAAGCATGTGCCCAAAACAAACTAAACTGTATAAAAGTTGACTTAATTAAATAATAAATTGAACATATGGCTGACCACATTGGCCTGTATGCCTTATGTTTATGCCCCTCCATCAATACCATCCTGTTGCTTCATGGAACAAAAAGGGAACTTATCACTATTATTCATTTGGGTTTGCATGTTAGCAATGCTCTGCCAATGTTTCTAATTTGCAGTGATTCAGCAAGTACTAATTAATTGAACAAGTTGGTTTGGTTTTTTTCCCCCAAAACACAACCATCCAAACCAAACAGAACTTTCATTTTGGTACCAACTGACCTGATGTCCAGGATGTCCAGTGATGCATGGAAATAAAGCATTATCTCCTGCAAACCCAACTTCGCAAAGCCCAGCACCACTGGCACATACAAGGGCAGTGGTTTCATCACCATCACACACAGTGCCTCATAATTTAGGCTGCAAAGCACCAGTTTGGAGGGAGGGACACACTCCTCAGATAGGATGGAACAGGACAGAAGGAACACCCCATCATTTAGAGAGCAAACTGCTGTAGGAAGAGTAATGTTGGGAAAGAATAAACCTAAACAGCAAAGTAATGCTAAAGCTCTGATGTAACAAAGCATGTGAAGTATCCACACAAATTTCCACTTGAATGGGTTTTACCAAAGCAAACTAATCAGGCCTTTGTTTTCAAAGGGGAAATCTGCTGCAGCCCCGAGGATCCTGTGATATTCTGTTAATTGGCCTCATGACTGTGGACAAGCTCTGCAAGAGGACACACAGTCAGCTCTACTTGGACTTCAGCATAAACCTCATCTCTTTCAAGGCTGAATTATCTTCTAGAAAGTTCATTTGTTTAAAATTAATTAATCATATGCACATACCAGCTCTAATGTTATTAGTTCATGGTAAATAAGAATCACCAAACATTAATTACTTCAATGACCAGTTGTTCCCTCATGGCTTGTTGAATTTGCCTTTTTCTTAGAGGGTCACCATCAATCTTAAATGAACAACTAAAAATAACCCCCAGCAAAAGTTTCAGGGAAGCATTTGCTGTGTGCTTTCAGTGATAGCCACTCTGTAATGTGGAGTGCTCACTCTAGGCCCTACTTCATGTTTGTAAATGGTAAATACCTCATGGAAGTGGTTGTTCTGGGAAAAAGAACAAGAGGCAGCTGGCACAACCACCCTGGAACATCTCAACTTCAAGAGTTGGCCATCACATCAAAGTGCTGATCTCCCTGAAATTCATGGCAAAATTCCCACCAAGAGAGGGCCTGGAGTTCACCAAGATGTATCTTGGATGCAGTGGTTATTTTTAGGATTGGACAATTGCCTCTTTAGGCATTTGAGAAGAGGGAAGGACTTTATTTTTCCTTCTTTGGTAACTTCACTCAGTAAGGAAGGGTACTTCAGAAATGGGAAAGGAATGAAAAACAGCACTCATCCAGCAAAGTTCTTGTCCCTTACATTGCAAAAATGGGATTTTATCACATGCATTTGCAAACAGCTTTAATAGAGGAATGTTAAACCATTAATTCTGGTAGCTGGTATCTTTGAAAATGAATGTTGCTGTGAATTGTTATTTTCTTCTAAAACCCTCAGGAAAAGGCTTAAGAGTGCAATAAGCCAACTATTTACTAGCAGTATCAAACATTACAGAACTGCCCGCAGACTCTGATTCCAACAATGTAAACCAGAGGGAAACTCAGTCCTTAAATACATCAGAAATTACATCACGAGACACTGGAATTTAAGAGTAGAGAATTTTAAAGCAGTTCCTAAATTTGTTGGATTTTAATTTTTAGTTTGTTTTTACTTGTCTAATTCCCAAGTGCAAAATTAAATACAATTAACAGAGAACCTCCTTTTTGGTTTCTGACGTTCAGAGAGAAAACACTACTGTTCTTCCTCATTTCATTTCACTAAGGTCTGGATTACCCTGCACCAGCAGACCCTCTGGAATGCCTTCAAAGCCTCAGGTAAAAGGCATCCAAGTCCAGGAACCAGTATGCAATCCCTCAAAGATCTCAGACTAAGCAAAGCAAAGCAAAGCATTTAAATCATGAAATGTAACATGAAAACATTCTCAGGGCAATACGCAACCAGGAAATGGTGATGATTTGTAAAAGCTGCTTCATAAATGACATGATCTCACTTCCCAACATATTTATATCAGCCTCTGGAAGGGAGTTCACAGAATATCTACACATGTCAAGCCACTTGTGGGAACATTTTTTTTCAGTTTGTGCTTGTCAGTGACAGCAAAAAGGCCTGGATGAATGAGGACAGAATTTCTAACACCTCTGGATCCTTTCCCACTCACTAACTTGTTCTACCTCAAGACAGAGGGTTGTTTTCTCCCCTCAAGACAAAAATCCCTCACACAAGGTAAAACTGGAAGGGCTGTAGGTCCAGTGTTGCCATTGAAAAGCATACTGCTTCACTGTAACATAATTAGCTAACAGTAGCTCATTATCCTTCTGCTAACACCCATCTTCAGGCTGGAAAGGGAAAAGTCAGCATGTACAGTCCTCATGTTATCCCAGTACTTGACACGAGGGCTGAAAACAGGGACTGAATCAGCCATTCAAAGGAGGTGGGTCATTACTGTTATACCAAAAAAAATCATCAATTATATTGGAATAGATTGGATTTATATTAAAAAAATCAGACCTTTACTAGACTAAGAAATATTAAAGACCATCAAAAGAAGAAGGTTTACAGGATTTACCTACAGTGGCTTTTCTTTTCCCACAAGATTCTCAGTTGAAAACTTACCCTTTACTGATTTGTACCTTGAAGCTCAAATATGTAAAATATGTAATGTTGTGCCTTTATAAGCTTGAATTTCATGTGTTCTGCAGCTGAGGAACATTTTGCACAAAGACAGGCAGTGACTAAACCCCACCAAGACAAGAAATGCAAGTAAATTAAAAAATTACCAAATTCCCCACAAGTTACAGGGAAAAAAATTACACAGAAGAGAATATAAGAAGTTGAAGACATTTCTTTATGTCATCTCAATTCTGAATCTTTACTGGATCTTTAATCATCAGCTTACCTCATTACCACACACAGAACTGGGCATAAACTTAATGGCAAAGAACAACTTTCTTAATTCTTTTATTTTCAGCCAAAAAAACCCAAGCAACCAAAGAAAATCAAAAATTCAGTAGTTCTTCCTTTATTGCACTCTATAAAACTTCTTGTGATAATCAAGAAGCCAATATACAGTAATAGCTTGATATTCCTTTGAAATTTATAGTTTGACTCTTAAAATAAAATTTGTATAGAAAAGATATCATTTACAACCCATTCAGTAGTAACCATTCATTATGTACTCACAAACAATATTAAATAACTTGTATGCAGCAGTTTCTTTAGAGGGCAGAGGGAAATATTTTCTCCTTAGCAAATATAATATTCCACTGTGAAAGAGCCATTCAAGTCAACTTTGGAGCTAAGTGTGATAAAGACAAATTTCATTGGAGAAGCTCAAGATTCATGTAGTGTCACAGGAATATTTACAACTGTGTCCAGTGCATAGTGTAACAGCAGCATGTGAGGAGTCTATTATCCTAAATTGGCACACCAAAATGATCCACCCAGGAAATGCAGTATTCAGAGGACACCAGTGAGGCACAGGAAAACAACAAGGTGGAGAGTGACCAGGTATGCGAGGAATAAATAGCGGGTTTTTGCTCGGGAAGTCAGCAGCTTGGAACAGTAAAGGCTTCGCCCTCGGAGCCACCTCCGGAGGGAAAGGGCTCCTCCTTTCATCTGGGTGGGAAACAAAAAATTCCAGATCAATA